ACCAACAAAACAAACATTAAAGGACTACTTATTCAGATATATATAAAAATAAATCAAATTAATAATTACTTGAGAATAATTGTATATACTTCAGATATATATATATATGATATAAATCTAATATAATTACATGAAGCATACAAACACACCATGGTAGAGTAAAATTAATTAATGACCCATTTATCCATAAATAATTAAAATACATATTTATTGATTACAATAAATAATTTCAAAGACAACAATTAGCAATAATTATACTTTACCCAATATCTTTCATGCAAACCCTAGTCCAATTTTATCAAACATAAATTTACAAAAACAAAATTAATAAAAAAATCAAACCCTAGATCTAGATCTAGATCTACATGCACATAAAACATGTATAAAACTAACTAATTGTTCACTAAAATCAAGAAACATGGACCAAATAAGAGTATGATCTTGTTCCCCTCCCTAATTTACCCTAGTACATTTAAAACTTGGGTCTAATTTGCTTCATAAGTAGCTCAAGCACCATAGAAGAGAGAAAAAAATAAAACTTTAATTACTCACTAACCAACCATTAAAACTTTAAAAAAATGTGTGGAATAGCATTTTCTTACCTTCTACAACCTCTCCACCAAAAGATTTGAGATCAAAACCTTCCCCCCTTAGTAGAGCAATTTTTGGGAGATGCCCAAGGCCTCCTCACCTTTCTTTTACGGGTTAGAGTGAGTGACCCGAGGAGGAAGAATATGCTACAATTGTTTTATATGTGGATCATTTGTAGGGGCGGCTGGTGATTGAGCCGCCCCTACAAAGGCCCCCGTATTTATAGGGATGGCTCAATCATCAGCCGTCCCTGCAAATAGCAACGTGGGGGGGCGGCCCCCACAAATCAGACCCATTTGTAGGGGCGGCTCAGATCACCAAATTACCCCTCTTCGTTTCTATTTATAGGGACGGTGGTGTCCTGGCTCCGAAAGACGTTGTCCAGTAGGCGGAGTCATCACCAGCCGCCCCTACAAAAAATCCATCCCGTTGCTAAAAATCGTTTTTTACGTAGTGAAATTCGAACGACCACGCATAGCACATAAGACGTTATTGTGTATACTTTGTTGATCGGAGAGTACCGCCGTCGTCACCACAGCGCCATGTCGGTCCCGTTCGCTTCGCTGAAAAAAAACCAAAAATATTGTTCTGACTGATTTATTGGGAGAGAAAAATACTGTATTCCGACTAAAAATATAAACTGAAAAGTACATATTATAACACAAGCAAACAGAGCCGCTATTCCCCCGCTTTCCTCGTTGTCTCCTCGAGACAGATTTTCACTACAAATAACTTGATAGAGATATTTCCTTACTTACAGAGTTAGACACTCCTTGCAGCCTGATACTCCTTTCTAGCAAGACACACTCAGTGATGATCCACGAATATATATATTTTTTTTTGGTTGTTTTTTATAACTATATAAAGATCGTCCAATGCACATATATATATCTTTCTGGTGATGCAGAAGGCACCAATACTTTGCGCTTTGCGAGGGTAAAAAGCGCAAACAACCTTTTGGTTCAAAAAAATCGACGAAAAAAGATACGGAAAAGATATCGCCGAAGGCAACCATAACAAGCAAAGCAACCCGGTTGAACGGCCGGCGGGCGCGGGCCAGGTACGTACAGTACGAAGCTGGAGGAGCGGCCACGGCTCCTCACAGTCAGTCACAGGTCACGAATGCCCGGCCGGCCGGCCGGTCCCAGCTGGTGTCGCGTCACGCACGCCACGTCCGTCCACGACACGAGCGAGAAGCATAGGACGTGGTGGTGGGGCCCCGCCCGGTAGTACGATGCAGAGCAGGCCGCACGGGCCGTCCCGTCACGTACGTGCGCTGCAGGAGTCAGGACGGGCCGGGCCCGAGCTGTCAGCCTCAGAGGCCCCAGCGCGCGGTCAAGCTTTACGGCGCGGCCGTGGGGACCGCCCGCTTCCTACCCCCCGCTCTCACGTGTGCGATTGTATATCGGCCCACGCACGCAACGCCGTGCAGCCCTCTCGAAAACCGGCTCGATTGCCCCCAAGGGATCGCTGTCCGCGGCGTCGCCGACGCACGGGCCAGCCCGGGATCGGGTGCCGTGTGAATGGGCGGCCGCCGCGATAGCAGGATGGATGCGCGCGCGCGAGGATCTTGTGCGTGGCGTCCTGCGTGCCAGGTGCAACCGCGCGCGGTCCCGGTTCCCGTTCCCGTGCGCCAATTTCCTGCGATCTGATGGATGCGATGTGTCGACGCCTTGTCGGTTCCGACAAAGACAGCGGGGGTTGGTTGGGCTGTGACTCGGACGGTTTACAACCTGCGATAGAAAGTGTTGTGTCATGTCACTTCTTGCTCACAATTCGATCGCTCCGAAAGGGAAAGGAAAGGGAAGCATGATCTCGGCCCGGGGGCGAGTGGATATATGCATTCGTGCGCGCCCACTCATTCTCGCGTGCACGTGGTTCAATGCCTTCTCTACTCGGTTCTGAACTCAGGTGCATGCATGTGGTCAGTCCCGGCCCGTCGGTTGCACGAGTGCTGTATTGGATTCCACTTTTATAGCAGCTTTTCCCTTCAGTTGAATATATCATCGACACCATTATTACGTGTGGTCAGCTAGCTTCATATACCGGAGTAGTAAATAATGATGGGTAGTACGAGCATTACATAAGCTAGCTGCAGTTTACCATGGCCTTTATTTTTGTAAACAAATTTAAATTGACCATTAATAGATCGCATCATGGCAACGACGACTCGTCAAAGTGCTTGCCCCATAGCCTCTTCCACCTTATTTTGCTCATCTACTTTTCAGCCTGGCTTGTGCTTATTTCGGTTTATTCTCTCTCACAAAAACACTATCCAATCAGCCGAAATACCACCAGTAGAACAAGGTTTTGTCTTCTATCAATCTTAGCGCACGGCGTAGCAGAGGCGTGAGGGATATGCGGAAAAGCATACCTAACTTCTACACAACAGTGTTCAACGATTGATAGCGACATTGCTGCCGTGCTCGTCGTATGGGTCATCTTTTTTTTCAATAAATAAAACATATGGTCACTCATCACGTCGCAAAGTCTCTCAAAGACGGATTTTTTTTTTTGTCGGCTCTCAAACTTGTAATCTGATGTAATAATACGTTCGGCATCTCAAAGATAAGAAAGACTCTGCTATTAGATTGGCCCACTAGAAACGAGCCCAGAATATCCAGCCCATCCATTTTTCGCCATTTTCATTTCTTAATTAAAGCGTAGCCCAATATTTCAGGGCCAGTCAGGCCTGCAAAGTGACCCATAAGTGGGCCAATAGCCCACTAACCAACCAATATTATTAACAGGAGGGCTCCGCACCATTCTCTCAACCATCAGCCCTCAGAGCAAACAATCCCCAAACGCCTCGGCAGCCTCCCTAGGGTTTTGCTCGGCGCGTCGGATCCAGCAGTCCGGGGGGAATCGCCATGGCCTCGCGTCCGTCGCTGAAGTCGAAGCCCAAGGGCAAGGGCGGGAAGAAGGGCGCCGCCGCCGACGAGGACGCCACCGCGGCGGCGACCACGGTGCGGCTCGTGAAGGAGTGGACCACGTGGACGATGAAGAAGGCCAAGGTGGTGGCGCACTACGGCTTCATCCCGCTCGTCATCGTCATCGGCATGAACTCCGAGCCCAAGCCCTCCGTCTTCCAGCTCCTCTCCCCCGTCTGATGGGATGGGATCTCCCCGACAAGGCCGGCCCGGATGCGGTCGGTCCGTCCGTCTGCTTTTATAGTAGTTTGTAGCTGGTACTTCAGTTGCTTTGATATGTCCGAGATCGAGTTGAAGAAGGCGGCTCATGCTTTCTGGGCGAATTTGAAGGCTTTTTCTATGATGATATGGTTTAATAATTTCGTATTGGCGGATGTGTCTTCTATAGATCGGATCAAAATCTCTTGGTTATGTGATCTGCTATGAATATGAGGGTATGAACTATATCGGTTTTCATCTGTGTGTACCTTTTTTTTGTGCCTCTTGCTTGTGCTGATGTTTTGGATGGTTATGGTCTTGTGGATGTCTCATGTTCGCTGAGATTGTGAATTTTGGTTGCCTCACTTTCATATCAGAAAGCGTATGAGTATTCATTGATCATAATGAGTGTTCATTGGCATTGCCAACAAGAGGTGGTGGATGTTGCTCCCAGACACATGTTTGGATGTTGCTCCCAGACACATGTTTTGCTTTGTTTATTTGGGCAAATTCAAATCTCAAAACAAGTGTAACAAAATTTGCGACATATCTGCTACACGTAAGTTATGAGATGCACATGCAGACCAGTTCGGTTTCAAAACTATAGCTTAGAGTGCTTTGCTGTTACAGTTTATAGAAGAGTAGCAGCAAAAATTACGCCATTCTACTAGCAACTTTGATAGCAATGCACGGAAAATCCGCAATGCACTAACAGCCACAACATCAAATTATTGTTACTCTCAATGAGATGCCATGATAGTGCATTTGCTATTTTCTATAGAAACTGTCAAAATTAAGAGAACTTAACTAAGGCAACGATGACTGAACATGCGAGTACTTGTTAATGAGAATCAAAATGGAATAAACATCTTTATTGATCGTCTGTGCAAGAAATAAAGGTAAATAGCATACATGAAAGGGGGTGTTGTGTGTTGTTTCTACATCCTTCAAGAAAAAGAAGGCCCTCCAGAAGAGACCAAGGCATCAAAACTTGTACAAATCCTAAATAATCCAGCTATTTATCTGGGTGACATGTAGTCATGTACAAATGCACAGTTCACCCAAATAATACAAATAAGATTTTCCTCCGCAAAACTCCAGTGCTCTCTTGCTGAATCTATTAATAATAATATATTGCTATGCCCTCGAATTGCACCTTCTACTCTGATTCTCCAATAGATTGATCAAGCACTGGACAAGCTTAGGCAGCAGAGTGGTGGCAAACTGTGAAAGCCAGAAAAAACTGTGGACCACTGAATCGCTCATACAAAATACTCAGGATCAAGAAAGCCCAAATTTGGACAAGTCTGACTGAAACAAAGTCGAGAATGCCTCAGCAGCAGTCCCATCATCAGCCTTAATTTTGAGCTGCGCCTTTGCTGATGCTGTGTTGACAATACATTCAACAAGGAAGAAAGCAGTAGCCCCATCTTTCTGAGCATAGAAAAAGAACTTGTAGTTCGGAGGCTGACCACCTGAAGCAATGCATTGGATGTAATTGCTTTGCATATGACGGATGAGTGATTGGGGATTCATCAATGATGCTGCTCCTTGTGGACTCAAAGAACATTCCTGTCAACGAAACACAGTACAGATCAGAATGGAAAAAACATAGCTCAGAACATAGGGCAGTTGATATCAGACATATTGGGAGAAAAATTTCAAGGTAAGATACGCCCTAGACAACCATGGCACTCAGGGTTTAAATTCATTAGACCACTTCGCTAAATCATGACCCTGAAACAGGCGAAATCACTGTTCAGAGGCCATGAATTGGAACAGGCTTCTAGTTTCATACTCTCCGTCAGAAACAAATATATTAGACAACCGTAACCCAAAAAAAAAATCTCATGCAGTGGGCTACTTTGCAAAAACTGTAAGAAAATCGACCAAGATGTGAAAAGGCTATGTGGCGTATGTTGCTCTGCTTGTAATCAGAAAATGCATTGACAAAAACCTAATAGTAGGCATACCTGAGACAGCGCCAATGTTAGTTGGCCCCATTTCCTCTGGAACGTACCAGGATCTAGCACAGGCTTCGAGTTAAGGGTCAGTGCTGGTGGTGGTGGAGCAGGAGCTTCAGTAACGCCAAGGCCAAGAAGGTCATCGAGACTGAAGTTTGATTGTGAGGAATATGTCGGCCCACCAGTATTTATTAGTGAAGTTTCAGCTGATGTCTGAGAGCTTATCAAAGAAGGGCTAATCAAATCGGAAGGAGCATTGTATGTAGAGGTGGAAGAATCATTGCTGCCTTTTGTACCATTGTCTTCTTTATCTGAAGTACTTAGCAAAAGATCATTATCATTTTCTTGATATCTTTGGGCAGAAATTACATTTTCTGGATCATCTGCCCCAACAGTCAAGCTTGTAAGATCCTCTGAGTACTCAAATGGTCCACGATGCTCCTTATCTGTAAACATGTACGATGGCTGCCAAATACATAGATGTTAGTACCTTTTATACAGACTTTGAATAGCTGCCTTGCTATGAACACATGCTACTGTCAGCTCCACATTTGTAAATTGCATTAAGTGCACATCAAAGAAATGTGGAAAAAAATTACTCCAGCCATAAAAGGAATGTGTTTCACTGTTTTTGCAGGACAGAATATCGCCAGACGATACCAATACATAGCAAAGGCATGAACTCTATTTGAGTCGCTTAATTCAATTTACCTCAAGCAACGATCTGCAGAAGTGCTTATCATGGGCCTACAACTGCCTTTACAGTTGAAGACAGCACTTAATCTCTTGTATGATGTATTAGCTAAAAATACAATGTTACCAACCTTCCATACAGTTCTTTCATTCAAAATCATCATCTTTTTTTAGGAAAACCAAAGACAATATATCATGGAACTTACTAAAGAATTCATAATCTGCCAGGAGGCAAGTTGATGGTGCTCGAAATCAACCACCCATTTAACAAAATCATTGAGAACAATACAGATCAATAGTTAACCAAAATCCACAAGCCAATTAGTATTCAGCAAAGCCCTACATTTAAATCTCTCCCCCCTACCAGTTATTGGAGTTAGTCAAAAGTAAATAAATAATCTATTATAGAACTGAACTATTTGTTGCTATGTCAAAACATTAATTAACGTACAGTCATCACTGAAAGGGAAGGCAACTTGAAAGCAAAGGGTACTAAAGTAAAAGTTGCACCGTGATGGGCAATGAATTTAAAAGTGGAAATCACAAGGCCCATTAGCATAATTTATGGGTGCGTTTGGTTGCTTGCATCCCTCCTAGACTGCATTAGGCCCAATGCAGGATACCCTAAACCAGCATAAACTAACGCAGAATGCTGGCGTTCAGTTGATTCCATAGAACATTTTGCACTGTGCAAGATCGTGTTTGATTGCCTGCATTTTATTGCATATAGGGGCTGTTTGCTTCATGGCCTCCCAGGCGAGCAGCTGCCCCAGGCGCCCGAAATTGGATGCCTGGGAGCTGCGCTCGCACCAGGCAGCTTTGCCTGGGTGCAAAACAAACAGGCCCATAGTCTCCTTATTTTCATGGTACGAGTAAAATCTGTTACCTCCGTCCCACCTCCAGTTCCTCAAGACCAAACAACAAGACCATTGCTGCCTCCTCACACCCGCAATGGCGATTTCCAAACCAAGAACCCCAAATAAACAGAAAGAAAAGACTCATGCTCAACGAGTTCTAGAGCACATCAGGCAAGAACCAGACCAAGGAGATAACAAATCAGGCCAAGATCACACTCAAGTATGTCAAGCTTGATGTCATTTCGTTGCCAAGCCTGCCACGCAGGCACAACAGCAGTAGAGCGTCAGGGACCCCAACCCTCATGTTCACTGGCATCAATGAGATCTATGAGCTGAGTAGCAAGCTCTGGTCAGCTGTGCAGGGCGAGGAACGGAGCAGGAAGGTGGCTGGCGAGCTTGGCATAAACACGGAGGTGAAGGTGAAGGCCTGGATCTCTGATGCAGAGGCCGAGCTGACTGCCAACATCAAAGTCAAGTGGGTCAGGGGGGCTTCTGTACGGCACCGAGACAGAAGTGTGGCTAGTGCCGTGGTGGTGGCCAGCATCCCTCGAGATTACAACGGGACCTCTGGCGCTCAAGATCCCAGTGACGCCTCACCGCATCGCCCTATCTAGGCCTTCTAGGGAGATGATACCTCCCACCTCACCGATGGTACAAGAAACGCAAAACTGGCAGGGCAACAGCGGCGGTGTGCTTGGTAGCAGCACAACAGCCTGCATCTCGTGCAAACTGGGGCTCAGGAGGTAGGGAGGTGAGGGTCCAATTCCATGGGCCCCCTAGCTTATCCAAGCCTGCACTCCACAGCCTGGCCAAATTTTGCGTACTAGGCAATGCAGCCTCTAGGCCCCATTTTGTATTGTTTAATGCTGCATTAGTCCCAATGCAGCCATCGAAACACGAGAACTATGCATACACCCATATGCGGGCAACCAAACACACCCTATATGATAATCAGAATCATATAAAATAGCAAGTAAAGGTCTCCATATGTAAAATTTTTAGCAATAGTTCAGATCAGATTAATTTGCATACCTTCTGATATACAACTGATAGACTGTTGAACTCATCAAATATCCGATCTTTGATTTCACTGCTCTGTGTATCTGCAAATACAGAGACAGCTTGTTTGGGAGGGTTTACTACACGTTCTGCTACATTAGGATTGTATTGCAAAAGCCTATAGTAGAAAAGCGCTCTGTCATGAACATCCTGCAACAGATGTGAGGTTTAGCCAGATCAAAATCTTTTCACTAGTGGTGATGCATAATCCATCTTTTATAGCAGAAACTCAAACAAATCCTGACCTGGTGGGTGTCAGATAGACCAGCTGCTAATGTAGCTCCTAGTGCCTTTTGTGTCTCTGGAGGTCTTTTAAAGAAACATTTCATCACTGCTGTCAGGAGATGCAAGCGAACCTTCAAGATACAGTATCAATGGAAAAGTTAAGTGGAGCTCAAGAATGAGTAGCTAATGGATAGGGACACCCCATAAAAAATCTAAAGCAGATGCATGGAATTCTACACTAACATCAGGGTAATCCTACACGGCTCAAGATGAAAGTTCGGATAAGGGCAACAAAATCATCCTCAATTTCAGTGTGTAGCAGGAAGTAAATGGTTTTCATACATGATACCAAAACTTGCATTCCACCAATTAGAAAATTTCAGTTGTAATTAAACGTTCTCCCTTATCTTAAATGTGTATGCTACTGTTACTGATTTTGGGACACAAAATTGTCAGTCATGTATGTACTCTCAGTTAAAAATAAGTGCAATCTTGGACATCAGCAGTCCCCTAAAACAACTTTGACAACTAATCTAATGTTGTATTATATTCATAGAGTATGGCAAAATTATAGTATACAACTACTTTTCAAGACAAATACTAGTATCATTTCCAAATATACAAACTCAACACACAAAAAGTAATTCATAATCAAAGTCAAAATTTGAAATGGTTGACTGCCCACAGCCAAAAACCATACTTATCTTTTACTAGAGTACTATGAACAACAAACTTCCAATGCAAGCATAAGAAAAAAGTATAAGATCATTATTTTTCCTTGCTATATGGACAATAGTTTTAGCAACTTTGTTAACCTAGTACAAAATGTAAGAAAATTGTGTGCTGGAGCCCATTATAACACGTAAAATATGGGACAACATAGTCAACTACAAGGTTCCAAAAGGCGCTAGGCGCTAGGCCACTGATTAGCGCCTAGGACGTTTAAGCGGAGATAAAACGTGATTAAACATTTTTGCTTTTTTTTTCTTCTTTTTTGTTGCCAGGCTGTGCTTAAGTGCATTACTGCATCACGTCTAGCCTTGTTACAACAGGCCAAGCAAAGCCAGCAGTAGTATTTCTCTTGGCCCAGAAGACATTAAGAGGACCAGGCCCATTAAAAACCCTACCCCCCAGCCTTATCCACTCCCATTCTATTCCCTCCGTCTCCCTCCCAGGTAGCCGCACGCCCGCAGCCGCAGGTCTCCTCCCGCACAGCCCCAAGGTCTCAGCCCGCAACGCCGCAAGGTCTAGGAGCACCAGGGAGATGCGTGTGGGATCACAAGGCCACGCTGCACCGGTGGCTACTTGAGGAGGTGTTGGTGCTCGAGATTCTCATTGCTGCTGGCACCAACGCAAGATGCGGAGGTGGCGGCCGTGACCACGGCGCAAGAAGATCTCTGTTTCTTCATGCGCTGCTGCCCACCGTGCTCGCACATGCTCCTGCCGCTCGCCTCTGCATGCGCTAGCTTGCCTTCCTCCTAATTTCCTCTGATTCCACGCCACTTACCCACTGGCTGGTGTTTAATTTGACGCCTATGGCCTAGGCGAGGCGCTGGGGCTCCATTCAGCGCTTAAGCGCGCCTAGGCGAGCGTTTAATTGCGTTTTTTCAAACATTGGTCAACTACTGGATAAGATAAACGACACAAAATAAGAACATGTTGATACCTCAGGAGAGTGCTCTTCATCCCAGTTTTCAACAAGACTTTCAAGGATGTATGGAGCATCATGCATGTCTTGTGAATATTCTCCCAACATCCATATGAGAGCTGCTTTTCCTTTTGGCTCCTGAATGTTTTTGCTGCTGATATTTCCAACAACAGCTATACAATCATGGCTCCATTGAGGATATTTTCTGAGAAGATCTTTCACCAAGACCTGCATTTTAGTTTTTAATCAGAAACATCAAGATTGTAAATCGTAATCCTGCTAGACTAGATCACGAGTAAAGGTCAGTAACTAGCATTACAAACACTTACTAGAGTTTCAGCAGTCACATAATCCTTATCCATTTCAAGAAACTGTAGAAGCCTGTCCACAATGGCATTAACATCATACTGCTGCAGTGCTATTTTTCCAACTGCCCGGATAGACTCTCTTGCAATTGGTACATCAACATTTCCAGCGTATTCACACAGTTCAGTGACTGGTGGGAAGAAACATGCAAAGTATTTTTTTTTAAACAATGGTAATTAATGAGTAAAAACATATCAAATTATAGTTGGAAATAGGATATCTGGCAAATACCAATCTCATATGTGTTGTTTTCATTTGCTATAGCAGTCAACATCTCAAGTTTCAACTTCTTCACATATGAAGGATCACTAAATTGGCAGTAGAAGCTTTTATAGTCTGAGGAAAATAACATTGGAGCACGCATCACCAGAAGATGTAGATGGCATAGCACAGAGTATGACTGTTCAGGACTGCCAGCACCCACCAGAGTAAGCAAGGGTGCTTTAATACGTTCGTAAACCTAAAACAGAGGAGCTAAAAGAGATTAGATGGATCTTCCACCAAAGGCCGATGAGATAAATCAAACACAAAAATAAGACAAAAATTAACCCATAAACATGAGAAATCCAAAGAAATAAAGTGTCCATGGAATTAAGAAAATATTCAGCTACATTAACTTCCAAATAACAGCATTATCTACAGCTAACAGACATTCGAAATGGCACATTCATTGTATTGATTGCATATCATAACATAAATGTAAGAAGGCTACGACTCATCTAGAGACCAATTTTGCAGTTGTTGTGATGTCCTCTGCTAGTCTGTTATGGGATCTTAATCCAAGTAAGATTTTGTTTTATTGTTTTATGCCTCCTAAAAAGGTGCTCATATACTTAAATCTCATATCCAGAACAAGAAAGAATTAAATGCTTCTGAAAAGCAATAGCAATAATGCAACATGATCCAAACCACGTCTCTGGGAGTAACATGTGCACCTGTTGATGAACATCAGTCATAGACATTGTCAAATGGAGAAAAACTTTAATTGTTGCCAAAACAACAGCTCCATTTGCATGGTGAAGTCTATCCTCCAACAGATTCATTATGTCAAATATTTCGTTATTATCAGATGGAAGGAACTTTGATGCCAACTCAAGAACAATGCACTGTGCCCATTCACTGAATTCTTTGATCCTGCACATAAAAATAGAGAACTCAAGAAAATTCACATTGGGGTTATTTAACAGAAAAGGCTCCAAAGCCAGGTTGAAACTCACTTGTTTAACAGGTAAAATACCACTGGCTTGCTATACAATGTCTCAATCTCTCTTGCTGCTGCCTCTGAGTTAGCAGCTTCTAGGGTCCAGATCTCCTGCAATGCATGTAGGCAATTGGCAACTACCTGCAAGTCACCGATATAATCAGCTTATCTCAGAAAAGCACAGTATTCAACAAGATAGCATCCAATCATTCATCAGTTGAACCAAAGCACAAACTGCAATCGTTCAGAATAATAAAATACCTCACAGGCTCATAGATGAAACACAGAACTTACAAAACAGCCTTTTAATGGAAGTCACGCGACAAACATAAGCTCATTTAAGCAACTGAGTTTTGATGTTCCAGAAATGAACAACAATGGATTGGGCCCATCATTAATCAGTTGAACCAAAGCACCAACTGCAATCGATCAGAATAATAAAATACTTCGCAGGTTCATAGCTGAAACGCCTTTTAACAGAAGCCACACCACAAACATAACTACATAAGCTCATTTCAGCTACTGAGTTTTGATGTTCCAGAAATAAATAACAATGGATTTGTAAACTTGATTCTGATCAGGAAAACTCAAAAGTCTCCTGCATATAGCTTCTGCTATACACAAAAACAAGTAGAAGCAGTGAATTTCAAATTCACACTCATATTTAACAACTTGCAGGTATTGTACAAACATCACAAGGTTAAATTGTCATGCAATTAGAGTTTATGATGTTGCAGGTTAAATTGTCGTGCAAAACTAAAAGAACAGGTTATATACAAGAGAGGCTGAAATTTCAGTCTGAATGATGTCATCAGACAATCTAAGCAAAAGCCAAGAAGAAGATTGGTGTTCACTCAATACTTTATAACCAATTAACCACAAAACTGTAGGTGGCTGAAACGTGCAAAACAGCCAATATAGCCAAAAAAAAGCAGATTACAGTAGTTTTGTTGTTAAGGGAATAATCATGAATATGCAGCTACAGTAGCCACTTTCATTCATCTATGTAATCAAGCAAGCTGTAAACCAGACAGCTACATGGTGCCCCCAATTTTATCAGCTACCATCGGCATGCAGTGCCTAAACTCAATCAGAGTTGGGATTCGCTCTGTGTGCATCGAACACATATTTCCAGCTCCATGTTCAATCCACAGAATGCAAAAGGTTCATTTTTTGGTGACAATTCAACAGTTGTTCAATTAACTTGTGGTTGCGGTCACTGAAACAAATTAGCAATAATGTGATACGATTGCTGCATAGCTTCACCAAGCAGTTCGTGGCAGGGTACTTCACCTGTGCGTCTGGATCGGAGAGCATGAGCGCCTTGAGCGAAGCAGGAAGGTCAGCATCAATGCAGGCGGTGGCAGATATGTGATACAACTTGGCAGCGCCAACAGCAGCGATCATCCGGACGTAGGCGCTGGGATCCTTCAGCCCCGTCGTGAGTGGCGTGACGAGATACTCGACAAGGTTGGGGACACGGTGGGAGCAGAGGCTGCGGAGCGCGAGGCCGCGGATGGTGGGGTCCTGATCACGGCAGTCCCGCTGGAGGAAGTTGATGGTGAGGAGGGCTAGGTCCGGATGCGCGCGCGCGTGGGCGCCTACGTAGAGATAGCACATCTTCTTGGTTACGACGTCGGAGGTGGCGGAGCAGAGCACCATCTCCCCGAACGCGGCCGACACGTCGATGCCGGCCGTCATGCAGGAGATCACCCTCTTGAAGACATCACGGCGCTGGTCGTCCGCATCGGGAGCGCGGCTCCCGGCCAGCTGCCGCAGCTGCTGCTTCAGATCCGCCACCTCGCTCTTCCTGCACTCACAGAGTCGCCAATTGCCTGGTTAGTTTAGGGTTCGGGAGGAGGGAGGTTTTGGGTGGCAGAGCGGGGGGCAGTGGCAAACCCGGAGGGTTGGGAAGGAGAGGCGGACTTCGCCGCCGAAGGGACGGTGGGAGCCATGGCGGTGGTCGGCCGCGGCAGGTTGGATCTGGCCTCGCGTGGGGAGGAAGACGACTGCGACGAGCCGTGGTGTTCGCTTGGGTAAGAGCTTGGATCTGAGCTGGGACTGAACGGGGTGGCACTAGAGACTGACAGGTGGACCATAAGCTAATACCCCTTCGTGGAGGGAATACGTATTTTTTTTCTTTTTTTAATCTAAATACGTATTTCTAATAGAAAAGAAAGGTGGGCATTTGCACATTTGGGCAAATAAATACGGTGACGACGCCGACATGACATATCTCAATACAATCTACAACTTTTTAATTAAATTAAAAAGTTTTTTATCTGAAATCGTTTAAAGTTCCAAATATGTGTTTAAATTTATAGATTTTGAAATTCTAATTTGGAATTTCTAAACGACCTTAAATGTTCACATAGTTAATACCAAGTTGTACTGTTGACCTGATCTACAAGTTTGGAGTTGATAAGTTCTTAATTTGAAGTTGTTTAGTATCTCAAATATTTATTTTAAGTTCACATATTTTGATATTCATTTTTTTAAAATTTCAAATAATATTAGATGGAGATACATCCTATGCCAAAGTTGTACTACTTTACAAGATTTAAAACTTTATAGTTGAATTTTTTCCATTTTAGTTCATTTAGTTGCTAAAATGTTCAATAGAAAATTATGATTTACTTATAAAAAAAAGATAGAATCCTATATATTCTATCAACACTTCAAATTGTGATTTGTTAGAATTCATGAAATGTCATCAGATATTTTTTTATTTTGAGATTTGAGAAAAAAGAAATCTAGGATTTCAAATGGTTTTCTAAAAATGTAGTTGTTTAGAATCTTGTTTTTACGCCATCCATGATTCCATGAAAATTTGAGGACCACCTAATTTTCTCTTGCTGAGTACACTTTTGAATTTAAATGGAAAATCAAGTATGAAGGATCTATGTATTATCTGAAACTCAAGATAATAATAAGTTGTCTCTCTATTGGGTTTTTTTAGTGGAGTCTCTCTATTGGGTATGTATAAACAAGAGAGAGATGGGCCAATGGGCCTTGTTAATGGACTATAATTATGTGGGCCACATGGGCCAAGTAAGATATTCACAATTACACGCTACACAACTTTAGCAGAAAACGGTCTTGAAGTCCTAGCTTTTATTATTTACAGGTTGAGAAAATGAGAGATAATTTCCTTTTATGAAAAAATGGGATGTAAACTTATACTTGAGAGGTTTTGTTTGTATCTAGAATTCTAGATAGAAACAAATAGTTCATACTTGTGGCGACTGATGAATAACTTTCTAAACGAATCCAGCACTCCAGTTGGGAATGGGCAGTAATTGCTCCTGCGAATTTAGCATGGTGAACGGTTAATAAGCGTGACCTACTGGGCCTTTACTTTTTTCTTCCTATTTGTGATCAAAACATTTCCGCTCTCCTGATTCAGTGATAAATACTCCCTGCTCTTCTTGGTTCATATTGGAAAAGAATATCTCTGTTAGTGACAAATATGTTCTTCAGTGATCTGTCGAAAGGAGATGCATTTTTTTGTTCCATTTTCTTCATACTTCCAAACATAGTTTTAGGCTTTTAGAGTAACTCCAGCAGGCGCCTACGTGAGCCCCAAAGCTAAATATAGGGGCTCAGGATAAAAATGCAGCTCCAGCAGAGCCCTTACTAGAGCCTCCAATTTGGGGTGGGCACCCAAATCTCTCCTCCAGACCCAATTCCTGTTGGCCCAACACCCCAACCCCCATCTGCGCGTGCTGCTCCTTCCCTCCATCCGCATGCGCGCGCTGCTCTAGCTCGACGTTCCCTCCCCTGCCTCTGGCCATTCCCTCCCCTACTTCCGGCGACCCCTGCCCTCGCCTCCCCTCCGGTCGTCGAGATCTGGCTCCCTCCGGTGGATTGCTCGCGGAGGTGGAGATGGAGGCGGCCATGGCGCACTGCTCGCGAAGGTGGAGACGGAGGCGGCCATGGCGCACTCCACCCGGCGCGATTCCCTCACGGCCATGACCGTGCCTTCCTCCGTCAAGCCCATCCTCTCTCCAGCTGCTCTCTGGCCCCAGCCGGAGCTCCTCCCCGCCCAGATCTCCCTCCCATGACGCCTCCGCCTTGCAGTCTGCGCTCCCCATCTGAGGCAGGCTCCTTCCCCTCACCGGCGCTCATGGGATCGCACTGTCGTCATGACGCCTCCTTGGCCTGCCTCTCCGCCCAGACTGCGCTCCCCGGTGCAGGCCTCTCCTTCCTCATCGCCAGGCGCTCACTTGCAGTGCAAATCCCACGATGCCTCACGCCCAGATAAGTCTGTTGGCCGCTTCACCGAGTGGTGGTTATTTGGGATAGCTCAGTGGTCAGAGCAGAGGATGACAAGTAGGTCCCAATTATCATTGTCTATTGAAAAGGATCTAGGGGGCTTTGATTTAGGGGCTTTTGCTGGAGAAGATTGCAAAATAAAGGGCCAACAAAAGTAGGGGGAGCACCCAAATCAGATATGGGAGCCCTGATTTGGGAGCTCCTGCTGGAGTTGCTCTTAGTAGATGATGGTGACCACTGATAGCTTATCAATAATGCAATCTATTTTCTGACGGGATCTTGGTTTTTGAAGGTCATTGCACTACCGGCCTTTTGAATCTGTCCTGGGACTGCTGTGACCAGTTTGCGATTCCCGTTTGTGCCGCCATCAACCTTTTGGAACCTGTTGTCCAAAAAAAAACTTTTAGAACCTATTGATTTAGAATTTTTTTATTTTTAACACTTTTTTAACTAATTTTAAATCTAACACTGTTCGTTTGTTTTTTTCAAAACTAACACTTTTTGCCCGCGCCTATTGCCATGGCGAAACGCCTGTGCCGCGCCATACATGGTGGCGCGGTGGAAGAATGACGTGGCACTTCCACGCGCCATAGCCGCTAACGTGGCAGAAGCTGCCGCGCCGCCATGCATGGCGCGGCACTGCCGCGTCCCGGCCCACGGCGCGTCCCTTCGTCAGATGTGTTCCGTCTTGCGTAACAATGGTCTGTTTTTCGTTCAATGTATATTTTTTCAAACTTTGTATCTCGCTTCTATGTTGTTGTACTTGTCATATTAGATTTTATCTCTTGTTCCAATGTCGCTACATATACTGTATCACATCTTATCGATTTATCGTGACTTGACATAGCACTGCGTTGCTGACTCTAGTTTCGTAGCCCTGAACTATAGGCTATGCCGCTTTGCTCTATTACGCAAGACTGGTCATACAGTCTAATCGGAACCAACTTTTTGCAGTATGAGACGACGTGCGTGTAGATGCTGCTGTCAGTGCTGTAAACAACTACAAGTGCTGTCGCGACACATTAAAACGAATATGAAGCAAATAAATGGAGTCCGTGCGCAAGTTGACAAGTTGCCACATAACATTTTCATTGGTTCATGAGTCTGTAAGTTTCGGATGACAATATTTGTTCGACATAAGTTCGACATAACAAACTAAGTCCCAGGAGTGTAAGGATCCCTCGGACGCCTCTGTCTCTTTGGATTTGTAGGCAACACATTGGGAGTGTAGCCAACATCGGTGTGGTCGTGTTGCCGGTGCGTACAACTCGTACCCTACAAGTATATGATATGCACGATTACTTATAATTTTTATGATCGTTAGTTCATGGAGCCTACGTATTTAAAAAACTACCTTTGTTACTACATGTAAGGCTCCTTAGATACCAAGCGAGGCACCACCTAGCTGAGACATGCCGATCTCGTCCTGCGGCCAATCGTCCTACTGATCGTGCTGTCTGCGGAAGCCCGAGGGGGTCGTCCTCGTCGTCGTCCTCGTTTGTAGGATCCTTCCCAACGCTATAATATGGTGGTGTATGCACTGCGGAAGTGCACCAGTCACCGGCTGAGAAGAGCCGGCTGGTGTCCTCAAAGAGCCAGAAGACGTGCCACCCGACCGCGCCGGGACTGTCAGTTCCACCCAAGGAGTGCCCATGCAGCTCAGCTTCTGAGCTAGCTTCCTGCAGCTCCACTTCACCTTCTGCATAAATAGACGTTAAAGTTAGTGCATTTCTCAAACGCATATACACTAAGGAAACATTTTCGGAACAGAAAAAGTTTATGTTTACCTCCACAAAAGCCTCGAGAACGTCTGGCCCCAGCCCTTTAGACTCGTGAAGCCGAAACGCCGCTTCGTTGGACATCCTTGACAATTGTGTCGTCTAGGTACACAAACATGGTTGGACAGTTTTAGTACACATACTTAATACCAAATGAATAATAAATTATACCATTCGAATATCTTACCACGTATCTTTGAAGTGGGGCTCTCTGTAGTTGTGTGTCGTCCCTAGTGGCAACGTCGTACACATCTTCGATCACATCTTCCTCATCGTCCTCGTCAATCGCCTCCTTAGTGTACGGGGCTTGATATGTGTTCTCATAGACCTGTGAAGCCACCGCAGGTACTCGTTGAAGGTGTGCTGGTCGTGTGGGGGACCCGCATCGACCGACTGCCAGTCCCTGTTCTGCCACAACTGGATGTACGCGTTGTGTGTCACGCGTCAATCCTTGGTCTTATACCTCTTTCTGCTGTCATACCTGCAACAAAACGATTGTTAGTTGTACCATACACACCTCTGAATTGTAGCTTTGTTATTAATTGATAACGCACCCGTGCAATTCTTGGTTGGTGGAGTAAAGCGGTGGTGGATAGCCTGTCATTCTTCCAAACTGCCTGCAAACCCTGATGGGCAAGTGAATCTCGACCACGTGGAAGAAAATAAGAGGGACGTTGCAGCGATACTCGTCTGACTCATCCCTAGTGACAGGACTCAGATAGTACTCGAGCTCCGGAGCATCCCAAAGACGCCAATGCACCTGAACATTCGTAATTGAGTTAGGTTGTGATATAGTGTACATCGAACAAGACATATGTATGATAGTAAAGAGAGCGTAACCTGGTGCTGTGTCAGGACGTCGGAGACTGTCCGTGTACTCCCTGTACTTGCGCATCGCATTT